GGATTTGTTTGAGTTCTTGCTAGGTCAAGGCCTGGGTCTGGGGGTTGAAGGCAGGAAGCTTATGGGGAGGAAGTGTTGAGAATGAGCACAGCAGGGGATGTTCTCAGTTGTTAGGAGCACCTATTACTCCTACAGAGGATCCGGGTTCGGTTCCCAGCACCCATCTTAGGCAGCTCACAACTGTTTGTTAACTCCAGCTCCAGGGCATTCAACACCCTCTAGCGCCCTGTAGGGGCACCTGCATATAGACAGAGACTACACACACATACACAAAATTAAAAATAAATTATAAAAAGTTTTAATGAGGAAAGGATACAGTTTGAAGAAGCAGAAGTCACTGAAATGTTTGTTGGGCTGGTTACTATTGCAGATGACTGGGGACACCCTGGTTGGAATTCTCAGGTCTGCGATACAGACTGCACCCAGAACGGTCCCTCTGGAGGGCGGAGCTTCAGACATCGCCCCCGCCTCTTCCTCCCTCATTGGCTGAGGGTTGCTTCAGGGCGGAGGGAGTTGGAAGAAGGCGGGGAGGGGCTGAGGAGAGGGAGAGGGTACTAGTTTCCTCCCGGGAAGCTGGATCCTACCGAGAAGACTGCCCCAACTGCCTCTGAAGTCAGAAGTGGGTCATGCATGTGTTAGGAGGCACAAAGGATGTCCGCCTCAGGAGATACATGATGTTCCTTGAGTTACTGTGGGAATTAAGCGGAATATTGTGTACAAAACGTTGGTCCTCATGCCTGATGCCCCGTTAAGTATTTATTTAATACGCGTTCACTTTATTGTTGCGGCTATTGCTGGTGTCACCATCGTGGTTCTTATCACTGTACTCTCATGAGTGACAGACAGGTGACTATGTGTGGCTTAGAGGTTTCCAGGAATGACCAACCACAGCCTGTATGACTTGCCACGACCTATTGCCAAGTATGTCAATTATGAATTATTGTAGCATAGTTTTCCCTCAGGGGGACACGTCTAGCTTGCATATAATACCTAACCTCATGCTAATACTACACCAAGAGTCACTATACTGTGTTATGTAGGGACTGAGGACAAAGAACAAACTGATGACATGTTCAACACAGGTGAAAGTTTTTTTCTGAATATTTTCCCCCTCTAGGTCAATCGACAGCTGCAGAGCCCTCGGATACCAAGTTCACGTTCACTTTCACTTTCTCTTTCTTCCTTTAAAAAAAAATACATTGTCAAAATTTGGGTACAAGAATAAAGTACAGTCAGTCAGTTGTTTGGGGGTGAAAGCAGACTACTATTGCTCTAGACTGGCATGTGGCAGGACTCTCTGCTGGGGTAGAAATAGTCTGTATCTGTGCCATTCAATACAGTAGCTGCTGGCTGAGTGTGGCTATTGGACACCCAACATGGGATTAGCTTATCTGAGGGACTGAAATTTAACTTTACTGAAGCCTTGTTAATTTGTGGCTAACCTTGAATAGCCACACACAGGCAGATTGGAGGGCAGTCAGACAGAGATCTCAGTGACCGGACAAGAGGCCCCTCCCTCAGGCCTAAGCTGAAGATGAATTTTGCAGTCAGTCTTGTACTGTCTCTGATCACCGAACCTGGAGAAGCCCACAGACCCCTCAGTATTATCACTGAGGTCGAGGAATCACTGGCTGACGGAATGCCCAGACCATGGCCTGGGGGACATGGAACTCATTCACACAGGTTAGGAGAGGAGGCCAAGATCTCCACTCAGAGTTGGCCCATTGTTTTGTGTGGAGAACTTCATTCTCAGGGGCCTTAAGAATGCAGGAGGAATAAAGCGACATTTCTGAAAGGGGTCTCCCTGACTCTGGGGATGGTTACACTTTTCCTGAAAGACAAGACTCTCACATGGTGGGCTATTCACTTCAACATCAACCCCTCCAGTCCATAATCCACCTCTGCTTCCCTCCCGGCTTCCTGAGTCCTTGGTAACTGGCAATTGACTTTATGTTCTCCATTAACCCACAAGTTCCATGAAGGCAGAACAATGCTGTTTACTTCACATACTTTAAAATCCCGGTGAAAGGGTAAAGCCATTCAGAGACAGCACAGACTTCAAACTGACTTCCAAAGAAGAGCAAAAGGAAGTTGCTCAAAGAGGTTTTTTGTTTTTGTTTTGTTTTTCGAAACAGGGTTTCTTTGTGTAGCCTTGGCTGTCCTGGACCTCACTCTGGAGACCAGGCTGGCCTCGAACTCACGGAGATCAGCCTGCCTTTGCCTCCTAAATGCTGGGATTAAAGGCATGTGCTGCTGCTGCTGCTGCTGCCGCCGCCGCCACTGCCGCCACCACCTGGTTTAAGAGGTGTGTTTCGTAGCAGTTATTTTTCTTGTCACATGTAGGGACAGTCCAGAAGGGGTAAGCAAAGGGGTTGAGGAAGCAGAGAGTCACCAGGCAGTGAAAGAGGAGAGAGGTCTGGTGAGGCAGGAAGACTGGCATGGCAGAGCCGGACCCTCTGGAGCCTTGAAGGAGGATGCCTGCCGCTGACAGGACTACCTGGAAGCAGCGCACCGTGGGATTCTGAGTCTGGCAAGGAGTTCAGGTTTCCCCAGGATTCCTGTTCTGCCCACGTGGCCACAGTGATTCTGCCCCCAGCCTAGACTGTGAGGTCGTGGTCCAGGGACATGGCCGGACACTTTTTCTGGGACTGTCATTGTCTTTCTCCTTCAGTTGCCGGGCTGGTCAGAGCTGAGAGTATCCTGATGGCTGTAGAGGGGCGCACGGAGCAGGACAGGGGCACAGAAGTACTCAACTGAGTGCCGGGAGCCGGCCGGAGCTGAGCCAAGAGCGGACCGGCTTCTGCGCTCTTCTACGCTTAGGCAGTTGTTAAGAAGATCTTGCCTCCTGCAACCGAGGGAGCCTGATTACAGACCACTTTGGTGCCATTGCTGAGAGTGAGAGGGGTGTGAGAGTGAGTAGTGGGTGTGGGGGAAACTGAGACACCAGGCACTCAGGGCTAGAGCCAGGGGCATGGCTGGAGAGGAGAGGGTTTCAGGAGCCGAGGCAAGGCTGCCTAGTGTTTCTGTCTTCCAGGGTTGCTGGCAAGTAGTGCCTGCCATCCTTCACCACTGTCTTCTTCAGGATGCCTTTTTATTGTTTTGTTTCATTTGGTTTAGTCACTTTGTTTTGTTGTTGTTGTTGTTTGGTTTTGACTTTTTGAGACAGGGTTTCTCTGTGTAGCTCTGGTTACCCAGGAACTAACACTGTGATCAGGCTGGCCTGGAAACCAAAGATATTCCTGCCTCTGCCTTCCGAGTGCTAGGATTAAAAGTGTGCACCACCACACCGGGCTCTATTTGGGTACTTTGTAAGACAAATGAATTCAGTAGTCTTCCCTCAGTTTTATAGCTTGGAGAGGTTAGGGGTCTTGGAGATCACATGGGAACCTGGAGCCTCATTCTGGCTCTTCAATTCACACAATGGGCTGGTAAGGAGTACCAAATGTCCTTGAGGTCACCAGACACTATCAACCTGTAACTTAGGGTAGGGATGCAGTTTGCTGGTTCCAGCAGGAGTTCCCACTGGGGAAGGGTTGGGAACCCAATGGTCCCTTCATTGAAATCAATTCTGCCCAACTCTCCTGATTCTAAATAGAAGAAAATGTAGATTTGGGGCAGAACCGAAGGGAAAGGGATTTCCCTTGGCAAATTATTTGCAATTTGTGGATTGGAGCTGACCCAGCTCTAATTCCCTCTGTCACTGTGAGTGCTGTCTAAAATGTGACTGGCTTATTAAAGAAGGAGTGCTGGAGGGGATCCTCCCAGAGGGACGGAAGGAAACAGGAACAGAGCCAAAGCCCACCCGCATCCTCCTGGCAAGGGCTCCAGCCAGGAGCTGCCCAGGTCCTCACCTGCTGCTTGTTCAGTGTTCACTCCTGCATGCTTGCAATCTGTGCCCTTCTTCAGCATTAGGGAAAGCAAGCGGTGCTGGGTACTTAGAGAATGAAACTCGGAGGGTAGGCAGCATGCAAAAGAATGCGTGTTGTTAAGTCACCGTCAGAGAATCTGAGTTCACGTCAGGAGGCAAAGTACCCAAATAGAGTCCGGTGTGGTGGGCAGGGGAGGGACCTTTCCTTTTAATAAGCATCTCAGGTGATGCTGAGGTGGGTGGTCACCATTTGAGAAGCAGCGATGAACTTGGAGCGGTCATGCACAAACTCTACCATGGGGCTCCTTCATCCCTGGGTTGGAGCTGCTTCTGCTGCTGCTGGCACAAGTCCTAAGAGATCCAGCACTTCCTTCCTCACCAGCAATACCTACTACGAGGGACAGTCAGAAGGCTTTCTTGGCCGGGGGTGTGGGTGTGTGTGTGGGGGGGGGTGTGGGGTGTGTCTGGTGGGACAGACCTACAACCCCAGTGATCGGAGGAGACAGGACTGCAAGTGTGAGCACTGCCTGGGGGAGAGAATGAATTCAAGGCTAGTCTGAGCAACACAGCAAGATCCTGTTAAATTTTTTTAAAAGTAGAAAAAGCACACAGGTCAATGGTAGAGTGCTTTCCCAGCGTTCATGCGACCTTAGGTTTGATCCCAGTACTGAAAAAAAAAAAAGCCTTTGTTGACTGAGAAGATCTTCAAGGAGACTGCTGAATCTAGGATTCAAAGGTTCGGTCTTCTCAAGTATAGTTTTAAAATCACAGACAGAATAGCACACTTTGAATACGGTGGGGGTAGGATGGTACTATTGGGGTGCAGCTACAGCAAGTTAAACCGTCTATACAGCTAGCACATCTCTCTCTCTCTGGTCCAGCCTCCAGAGCCCTGAGCACCCTCCCTCCCATGTTTCCTTGGTCCCAAGGGTTGTGCATGAGACACAGCAACCAAGGAAGACTTTTTTTTTTGCAGAGCATCAGCCTCTTTTTAAAAACTGCTATGAACAAACTCCTAAAGAAACCATGGATCTCTGTTTCCCCATCTCTGCTTCCCCAGGTCCTTTTTAAATCAACATTGACGTGGGAGGTGGTCCACAGGTGTTTGCAATGAAAGTGACCCCACAGGAAATGAATCTGAAAATTCCATTTATTATAACAAATACACGGTTCATGTGGGATAAAGATGTGCACACTACATTCAGGTTCTCCTGCTTTAACATTTCTAAGCTGGGCATGGTGGCTTGCACCTTTAATCCCAGCACTCGAGAATCAGAGGCAGGGGATCTCTGAGTTCGAGGCCAGCCTGGTCTACAGAACAAGTTCCAGGACAGCCAGAGCTACATAGTGAGACCCTGTCTTGAAAAACTGGAAGAAAAAAAAAAACCCAACCCAAAACGCTACAAGCCCCCCCTCTCTACCCAATGTTTCTGTTACCTTCTATTTAAAGACACATTCCAGAGATCTTATACAGGAAGTGTGGAGATCTGAACAATTGTTGGGCTTTGAGACAGTAATATACACATAATATCCATCATTTCCAGGAGCAGCTAGAAACAAACACTAAGGAAAAAGAAAAAAGTATAAAAATCTCCTAAAGACCATTGGCTTGATTTACTCAAAATTCATTATGTGAATACAAGCATATGAGGGAAAATATGATTAATTTTTTAAAATCTCATGATGATTTAAATTATATCTTACTTGCTTTCAAATTGAAAAACATCTTAAATTCGAGTTGGTATTGAAAATGGTTCAAGTATTTTAACAGACATTGCATTTAACAGACATTGCATTATAAGTATGACATTTATTATTTCCTAATTCCATGGCAGATTTTAATTATTATCCAGGCATATAGAAATGAGGGCCCTAAATAACTAAGCTGAAGTTTCCTATTAGCTACTCTAAGATAAAATTATGCTGATGAAAATGATAGTTGACATTCCGAAAGACTTAAGCTCTTTGGAGACCCTAGTAAACAAAACCTTTTTTCCCCTTTAATAAATACAAACATCAATAAGTCAAAACTGATTCTGATTATAGCTCCATACCAAAGGATATGAAATTGTGAAAGAGACAAGATATTTTCCTGAAACTTCCTTTCAGATGGGGAATGCATTTTTTGCCTTCTCATTCTTAAGTATGCTCATGAGTAATTCATAAATCCTTAATTTTTGATTGTTAGACCTGTACAGGGTGTGCTTTGAAGATTGTGATTCCACTTTAATTGCTTCAGAGGTCTAAATTTGCACAGAAGTCCAGAATCCTTCTAGTGATGCCACTTGCCAGCAAAGAGTGCCCCTAGCTGACGTGTGAACACATATTCACGTTTCAGCTCACTTTAAATGTGTGACACTTTTAGCTGATTCCACAGTACTCTCAACCGTACAACAGCAGAGTTCTGTAAAGACTCACAGCTTTTTATTTCAACCACTAACTCTTCCTGAGTGCCCCACCGACAATAACAAACCCCCAAGATCTGACCGGAAGAGAGTTCCTGGTTACAAAATCGCATTCATGCACTGAGACATGTTCTGGTATCCTCATCTTCCCACCTCAGGCATAAATTTTAATCGGACATATTTATTCCTTTACCTGAAAACCCATAAAAGAGTTAAGAAAAATATTTACCAAATCTATTTCAAAATGGGTCCTTGCTATAAATAGGAAATCTTTTTTATCTTCTCTTCCCTCCAGGTACCCACCCCACTGCCCCCACACATGCTTTTTAAAAATGAGGAAGAGGATGGTAGGAGAAGAAAGTACAGTTAACTTGGCTGTAGTGGTCTTTTAGGATTTGGTAACAAACAGGATGTACAGGAGGCCCTCTTTGACTGGGAAGACCATAGAAAGCGTGTGGAGTCTCCCAGGGCCTTTCATTACCGATGGAGGTTACAACTGGAGTGAACAAAACAAAACAACAAAACAAAACAAACACCACCCCAAACAAAACAAAACAACAAAACAAAACAAACACCACCCCAAACAAAACAAAACAACAAAACAAAACAAACACCACCCCAAACAAAACAAAACAACAAAACAAAACAAACACCACCCCAAACAAAACAAAACAAAAAAAACACCACCAAGAAAAAAACACCCAAAAAACAAAAAAACAAAACAACAACAACCCCCCCCCCAACCAAACCAAACCAAAAAACCGCTCTCAGTGTTTTATTGTGGGAAGAGAGTGCTAGCCAAAGGAAGCTGTAAATAGGGCAGAGAGGCTCTGGCAAACAGGGCACAAAGCAATGATTGCTTCGAACTTTTGGGGGAGTGAAAAATGAGGACCATGTCGTTGGGAAGAAGAGCCAGCTGCGGGGGCTGCTCAGTGTGCCTGGGGGACTTGTCTCTCCAACAGCTGGTGTTCTGGGGGTGGCCACCTTCTTGGAAGCTGGGGGTTTATTTCTTCTGATGCTTGAGCTAAAGAGGGCCATAGGTTTCTAGTGTTGAACACGGACACTGTTCTTTTGCCTATGATTTCCACGGTTCCTGGAAAGTGGGAACGTGTTGCTATTCTGACAGTGCCTTCCTAAGTCATGGTGGATCCCTGCCCGGTCTCCAGTATGGGGTAACTGTGCTGCCCAAACGCTGTGGATTGGGGAAAACCTGTCTCTAGGCGCTTACACCACAGTTAACTAGGAGGTATTTCAGGATGACTAAGGCTCTGAAGTGATCTCCATTTTCAAAATACAGAGGACGTTCCCCCCTCTCAAGCATCTTTTTCTCTCTCACTTCTCTTCTTAGCTTTCCAGCTGAACAACAAAACTTCTGAATGGATGCAACATGGGGACATTTTCATGCAGTATTACTCAAAAACTATCACAAAGACATGAAAGCACCAGTCACAACACATGGTTTACTTTTACTTGCAGAATCAAAACTATCATATACAAATATTAAGAAGAGTGGTAAGAGAACACAGATAGCCGGCATTGTGTGAGTGTGTGTGGTGTGTGTGGTGTATGTGTGTGTGTTCTTTCTTTTTTTTTTTATTCTTGTGAAGAAATACCATAGGGAACATCTTTCTAAGCGTCTCAGCTATTCACTCATCCTTAGCGTTCAGGGTAACACACAAACCCAGCCTTATCTCCACAGTACACTAACAGGGAGGGGTACAGAAAGAGAAAGGGAAGGGAAAGAAAAAGGCACGAAGGACTAAACATGGATGTCATTCAACAGAACTGTGGCTACATGGGACTACAGCTTAGCAGAGGGTGTTTGAAAGACAATTCTCCTTCCCAGAAGGTCAGCCATATCTCAGCTCAGGACACCGGCTTTAATGTTTATTTTGTTTTTAAATATGAAGCAGAAATGTAAGGTTTTAGAGGGATAGCAGAAAAGAAGTGACACCGATTTTTTTTTTTTTTTTTTTTATACATTCCCCTCCTCCAGGCAGGTCTGCTGGGTCAGATCTCTAAAGTTGGGACATGGAATCAGCTTCCATTCTCATAAGGGGACAGTTTGTTAAACATGCACAGCCCGGAGTGTCCAGGATGGTTCTCCTTCCTCTCTTTAAATGCTGCGGACGAGAAAGGCGCCCACTTTGTTAGGAACTCTACACCAATGTCCCAGGAGCCCCGGCGCTCTTCAGCCTCCTCTCAGAGACTTAAAGGATAGCGCAGAAGAACTTCTTCTCCCGAAAGGGATTTTCTGAGGCTGGGACTGGGGTCAGCAGGGGGTCTTCCTTGGCATGTGCCTCACAGTAGGCCATCAAGTCCGCAGCCGCCTTGGACACCTGCAAGGGAAGGCAGAAATGTCTGAAAGGTTAGACAGGCGTGGACCCAAACATCCTCGGTGCCCTCGCTCGCTCAAGTCTCAGCTTTGGGCTCCACTACGCTGGGCCTCATCCTGCTAACCAAAGTGAAGGGAGACTCTCCACCTGCAGAAACTCAGCTCCCTGATCCGCAGACAAGGTGTCAATGAAGCTGACAGAGTGTTGCCAGCAGGTGGGGATCTAGTGTAAAAGGAGCCTCAAACAGAAGAGCCTCAGACTTAGGGCCTCAGACAAAAGAAGCACTCAACATCAGGGTTGTGCAAAGGGCCAACCCTGTTCTTCCACTTCTGTGCCCTGATACCTCAGCTGCTGCACCTGGTGGCAAGGACGACCCAAGTGAGCTAACCCAGGAAAAACTTCCAGGACCTCACATACAGGAAGCTTTTCACACAGGACAGCCACTGTTGTTATATACCTGTAGATAACCCATATTTATAGATAACATATATAAGATATCTATATATCTACAGATCGATAGCTATGCCCTTGCTTTTGGAATTCTGCTAGGAATGCCAAAGCCAGGCCTGTATCCCTTTTCTACAAAGGACGCATAGCTTCAAGTACACACACACACACACACACACACACACACACACACACACACACACACACACTGATATCATGTAGTGTGGAATATATACATCATAGCATCACTATTTGTGGTCCCCAGTAGAGGTGCTGCCCTGCTTTTGGAGATGGTGGGTTGCACATCCCAGCTCCTTGTGAGGTGTTGCCAGTGGTACTTTCCTTTGTGGTTGTTGCACAGTTTTGTTACTTGGGGAGCTAAATTTAATGTTGAGAGATCAGCTGACATCTGGGGATGATTTAGGTGATCCCCCAGAAGAATGCCATTTGGAATCAGAAACAAAGTCAGTCATTGCTTTCTTATATGACACAATGCACTTGTGCTGAAGGTCACTCCCAAAGACATTTGCTCATGGAACCACTACCACTGTAGGGTGTGAAAGTCTCTCACAGTGACTACTGCAAGTATAATCTTCCCTAAGACTTGGGCAGATTATACTATTGCTAAAAATACACCATGCTCCTCACTATAGGTAGGGCCCATAGATCCACACGGTGCTGTCCGACATGGTTATACCGCAAGCAATTTGTTCTCGCCAATGAGATGTGAGAAGAATTGATAGTAATCATTTTGGGGTAGAAGAATCCATGCGTGTCTTGCCAGGCACTCTTCCCTCTGCCACTCTGTCCATACGATGTTATAATTAGGGACCCTCTTTCATCCAGTCACACGTTTCCATGCATGGATCGATGGCCACACCCTTGCTTTGGTCTTTGCCTCAGGACCAAGTGGATTAGACTCCCATCCCTTACAGGTGCACCAATTTTATGATTAACAGGTTGGATATGGAGATCAATGTCATATTCTCAATCAATAACTGCTCGATTTTTTTCTTTCTCTATTCTCTTTGCCACAGACCAGAAAGATGCAATATTCCAGACAGACACTGCTCCCTAGGCCAGTGTTCCCAATGACAGTGACAGTGTGTGAGGTGGCAGTTGATCTGATTAGGAAAGATCTCATAGTCGCTCTGTAATCACAAACCTACTTTGCTCTTGACATCAAGTTAAAACTTCTCTTGCTCTGTAGTAGGAGTAGGAAGTATATCTGTGTTGGAAGTCCAAAGACTAGCAGAGGAGGACCCATGGTTACTGCCAGGAAGCCCAGCTTACCTTGGTTCAGATGTAAACACCGATATATGTATTCATATTCATATATGTCTGCCTTGATGTAGCATTACAAACCAGAAAGACCAAAACAGCAGCAGTAGTGCATTCTCTCGCAGTGTTAGAAATTTGATGTTGGAAATTAAGGTGTCAGCAGCTGTGGTCCCCAACCCTCCGAGGGAGAATCTGCTCCACGCCACTCTTAGCGGGTTGTGGTGCTCTTTAGCGTTCCCTGGTTTGTGCACAGAGCACTCACTCCAATGCTGACCCCTGTCTACATGGCATTCTCTCCGCTGTTCAAATCCCACCAGTCATTGTGTTAGGGTCTACCCTACTTAGTGTGACCTCCCGTTAACCCAATCACACCTACAAACACCCCGTTACCAAATGAAGTCACATTCTAAGATTCTAGATGGACGTGAATTTAAGGGGGGGGGGGGGGAACTATGTGGTATAGTATATTTGTTCCAAAAACCTATCTCTTTAATAGACATTACGGTAATTGTGAAATATTTTCATTGTGGCCCCATTTTGTTCCATCAAGTCATCTTTTTCTTCCTATCTTCACGGCAGTGCTTAAGTGAAAATCAGTATCTGCCATCTCTAGATGAAACCCGGAGGATCAGCAGATTTCCTGAGTGTGGTCATCCTCAGGCAGCAAATGCTATGGTAGAAGAAGAACTCGGACTTGTTTTTCTATTAAGCTGTAGCCAGCTGCCTGCAAACCACTCAAATCCCCGGCTAGCCCCAAAGGTGGAAACCGCTCTTCCAGAAAACCTGGTTTAATCCCCAGCATCCACTTGGCATCTCACAACAGTCTGTAACTCTGGTCCCAGAGGATCCAGTGTCCTCTTCTGGCCTCCTGGAGCACTGCACACACAAGGTACACAGACACGCAGGCAGGCAGACACTGACACACATACACTGATTCTGAAGTACTTCAGAAACTTCGTGCCACGTGTTTGTATGTGAGCATCTCTCTAGTTCCCAAAGTGCTTTTTTTATGACCCAGAAGAGGGCACCAGAAAATTAATAACACGGAGTTGCTCATAGTTTATATTTGAACAAATAATTCTGAATGATTTCCTTTTCAAAACGTATTATATTTTGTTTCCTCAATTAGATTGTAGTCTCCTGTGGATGATAATCCAACACCACATCAGAATCTTGTTAATAACTAGAATAATTGCCAATATCTGTGGCCTTTGCTATGTGTCAACACTGTGTAAACCACTTTCTACCAAGGGTCGTATTTAATCTGTAGAGCAGTAGCGTGTGTGTGTCTGTAGGTGATTAATATCCCCAGGCTTTGCTCTTTCTGTTGTTTGCTTTGGGGGACAGGATCTTATCCTGCTGCCCTGCCCCTTGCTCCGTAGCTCAGGCTGGTGTACAATTCAGAATCCTCCTGTCTCAGTTTCTTAGACACTGGAGTTACAGATGTGTGCCGTCATGTCCAGCACTGACCTCAATGTGGGTGTGTGGGTTCTAGGCTTCCCTGAGTAAGTGCTTGGCTTGGGTCTCAGCTCAGGAACAGCCAATGGTGAGTGTTTATGTTCCTGATTCAAACTCTACCTAGACTGTCACGTGTGTCCCTTACCTTAGTGTAAACTGTGTGACGTTCTGCCTGGATCTCAGGCTTTGAGGTTATCCTTTCTAACACTTTCATAGTCATAGGCGCTTCCTATGGAGATTGTTCTCAGAAATTTAGAATAGTCTCTACCTTTTCTGTCCTGTTGATTCATTCTCCAAAAATGTCCTACGTTTAGACCCCTTGCTGTCTGCCATCTCCAGAGTTGGAAGTTCCATCTTCTCTGTGACAAATGAAATAACCGCTTATATAAAAAGTCATTAATTGGGTTCCCCAATGGACCCGAGGACAGAATTTAAAGAGTGGTCTGTGAATGTTGATGATAAAAATTATTCCTTTATTTTTTCTAACGTCAAATGGAAATTTATCATCTCCTTTCCTTATAAACACGGTTACTAGCATGAGCTCTGCAGGTGAGTCAGTCAGCCAATAGAATCAGGTATTTTTAGTCATATTACAGTCATCTTCATAGCTCAACATTGTATTCCTATTTATCCACTTTATGGTTACAGGCATGGCATTAGACTATGTAATAAAGGGACATATCTATAACCATATATATATTATATATAGGTCTTGAAAATATTTTTAAAAGTATGCTATTATCTAAAATATTTTATAAAAATATTCTGATACACTATATTTCAACATAATCAGTTTCCTTGGTAATTTAAAGGCATTGTTCTGAGAAGGGACCATGAACTTCAGCAGACAGTAGTTAGGTCAAGGACACCAAACTGTTTAGGAAGCTGAATGACGTCTTTGCTTTCGAAAGTGTCACAACTGGTGTCATCGCACTGTGGCCGCAGAGATAGTTTAAGAACCCAGAATGCCTTGTGGAAGTCCCCATTTGAAATCGTGATTTTTTTTCCCACTATACTTTGTAGAAACAAAAACATCACACACTGGCCCGTGAGTTCTGAATATTTGGGACACACTCCTCTCCAGTTTCATGCCTCAATACTTTCCCCCTTTAATTCTGAAAGCTCTGTAGTCCTTTCTGCCTTGTAGTTTTGTACATTTGATCCTGAAAAACAGTCCTTCCTTCACATCCTCTCCCGTGTGCTCCATGTTTTTCGGCCAGGAATCGACAGAAACATGGCTCCTGAGAGAGCGCTCACTGATCACCTCATCTAAACCGACACTCTTTAACCTTCTCTGTCCAAGTGGAGCCCTCCTCTCTCTCACAGAAGCCTCACCCCTCACCGGCATGACTATCCTTCTGAGCTTGCTCATTGGTTACTTAACATTTTCTAACTCTTCAAGCCCCCTTTGGCAGGAGGGCAGGAACCTTATCTGTCTTATTCATCACGGTGTCATCAGTGCTGACACATGGAAGAGGCTCAGGTAACTACCAAAGGTGTTCTCAACTGTAAAAATAACAGATTAGAGGGGCTGGAGAGTGGTTTGTGTGGGTAAGAGCATGGCCGCTCTTCCGGCAGACCTGGGTTCGATTCCCAGCATCCACATGGCTGCTTACAGAGGGATCTGGTGCCCTCTTCTGCCCTGCTGGAGTGCCAGGCACACACACGGTGCGCAGACACACATGCAGGCAAAACAGCTGCACATACAAAATAAAATGATAAAAAATTTAGTAACGATTATAAACCACTGGTCTAAAGGGGACACCCTGAGCTCACAGCAACATAATTAAATACATTTAAAAAAAATAACAGAATGC